TGTACAGTGAGCAGTGTTCGGCTTAGGGTGGGTAAGTGGCATCTCGTTTCGCTAGCTTCTCTTACTCCTGCTTACACGTCTCACCTCGGTATGACGGGACGAGTAGACCCTTGCCAGGAAGCAACTCTAGTATCTTAATTGTGGCTTGATAAGCTTATCGAGACTCCTGCGCGATATATTGAAGCTAACTGGTAGAACCTTGGTTTTTCTAGAGTGTATAGGTTTACCTTGTAAGAAAAAAATAAAGCTATGCATTCGAGGTTTTGATGACCACGATCTACGTAGTCTCCAAGAAAAAGATAGTTAACCATTGGTGGAAATCCACCTCGATCAAAGAGTCTTAGTACATCTAAAATAGCGTTCATTTCAATCTCAAATGTTTGTTACGACTATAGGCTCAAAGCTTTGGGCTAGTTGCCGTCAATTAAGGAACTCCGCTACAGTCACAACAGTTCGTAAACTTCTGGCATGTAGGTAAGATATCATGAAATGCCAGTGATATAAAGATCTGCCATCACTTCAGTAGCCGTTTTAGAGCCCAAGACAGCGTCCCATGTCAGCTGGGAACCTCTAGAGCTGCTCCACAACTTTCCCACCTCTCTGCACTTTTCCTATCACCACTTCTACCTAAGTTTTCGAGAGATGCGGCCAATGAACTTTTCCACACTCATTTCGGCCAAATAATTGAAGTGCTGATGATAGCTGGGGGATGATTCAGCCATCGATTGGTGCTTTCAGCGTCAGAGGAATATGAGCGACAATAGGAATACGTTGCTAATTTAGAGAAGAAGTGCTTGTCGTTCCGTTAGCTTCTCGCGTTTCATGCGAACGGTCCGAAGAAGAAGCGCAGCAAGATCCGCACGTGTGGAAGCGAAATACTCGGGAAGTAAAAACAATACAAATGATCATAGCTATCTACGCGAGGAGTAAGGATCAGCCCAGCAAACAGGAAGTATGTTGCGTGGATTGGACTACTAGTAACGATATAGTTTGAACAAAAGTTGCACCTGCATATTGACCGTGAATGTCACCGCATATCTTTATAGGGGATTGAACTTCAAGCAGTGATGCCTGATTGAGAAACACTTGCCTGTAACACTTTCATTTAGAGTCTCCATGAAAACTTATGGGCTTCCCACTTTTGACTAAAAATGATCGACTTATGGTTAGATCGTCATGACATTATAATATTAGGAGGTTTCACATATATCACGGGTTACAGGGCAAACTACAAAATTGGTGGCCTGGCCGTCGCTGATTATATCAGTTCAGCTGGAATCGTCGGTGGCGCCTGAGGCTTGGCTGGTAATTTGTTTGCCAGTGAAAAAAGAAAGTGGGGACGCGAAAATGAGGGGATGCGCTGCGAAACTGTCATGAACTTATGGATCAACGCCTGCAGCCCGTTGAATCAGTCTTAGAACAAGCACACAACTAGGATAGAAGGACAGAACACAAGAAGGATAGTATATCGAAGTGGCCCTTCAGAATCAATTGTAAACGTCAAAAAAGCTCTGGATAGTCGAATGTTTAGTTACTTCTGCCAAACGAGGTTTTTAGATGGAACCTTTTATTGGCCCAACGTTTCGACCTTCTCGTCTTCTTCAGAGGCCTGAAAATGGCTCGAAGCTTTTAATTTGTTACCTACCCGACCAAGCGCCCTCCCC